CTACTACTACTACTACTACTACTACTACTACTACTACTACTACTACTACCACTCCCACTACCACTACCACTCCCACCACCACCACCACTACTACTACTACCACCACTACCACTACCACTACCACCACCACTACCACCACCACTACTACTCCCCCACCACTACTACCACCACCACTACCACCACCACCACTACCACTACCACTACCACTACCACCACCACCACCACCACTACTACTACTACTACTACTACCACTACCACTACCACCACCACCACCACTACTACTACTACTACTGCCACTACCACTACCACCACCACCACCACCACCACCACCACTACTACTGCTACTACCACTACCACTACCACCACCACCACCACCACCACTACTACTACCACCACTACCACCACCACCACTACCACTACCACTACCACTACCACCACCACCACCACCACTACTACTACCACCACTACCACCACCACCACTACCACTACCACTACCACTACCACCACCACCACCACCACTACTACTACTACTACTACCACCACTACTACTACCACTACTACTACTACTACTACTACTACTACTACTACTACTGGCAGCTACTAATGCTTTATCTAAATGCTAGTCCCAACATGCATACTCCTCTCTCTTTCCAGTGCTTCATTCCTTTGAGATTTTGATTCAGCTCTCTTAAACAAGGTAGCCTCCAGTGATACTTGTGAGCCTTTTCTAGCCATTTGAAGAGGTCACTTCAAAGACTATATCGATAAGAATAAACATGCTAAAAAGAAGGTAAGTATAATCTGTGTGAAATTAAATTCAGAAGAAAATTCTAAGTTTGTTTCCATTTCAAATACCATTTTAAGGTTTTCTTTGAGGTGATTATATTTGGTTGCTTTATTTTAAAGACAACCATGCAATGGTGCTGGAAAGTGCAGGTCTGATAACAATGAGAAATGAGTCCGTATATAAAGCAGCTTTTGGTATTTTACCAGTTGGCCAGTCTCTACTCATGTCTCTTTTGAAGGGTGATCTGGTACAGTCTTGTGCCCCTTTCCCTCCCTTCTCTCTTCTGCTTTTTTAAAAGAAAGGATCTCACTCTGTAGTCCTGGCTGATCTGTAACTTACTATGTTGCTTAGGCTGGCCTCAAACTGAAGTCCATATTGGCCAACAATCTTCCTACCTTCCAACTGCAGGGATTACCAGCATGTATCAACCAAACCCGGCCTTACAGTCTTCTGTTTCTGTCTGTTCTTTATTTTTTAAATCAAGAATGCCCTCTCCGGTTCCCCTCTTCCTCTCAGATTCCATTGTCCTTCAATATTCAATTCGGTTCCTATCAACTAAAAAGCTTTCTGATCCTGTTTAGGATTCTTCTTGAGGCAGGAGAGTAGGGAAAAAGAGTGAGGTCAGGAAGGACTTACACAAAGGCTGCAAAATTAGCAAACAAAGAAACAATGGTTGTCACGTTTAGCAAAGAAGAATGCTAAATCCCCCATGCAGAGTCAAAGCCAACTAGAAACAGCAGGGGACAGTGACAGATACACTCTGGGGTGTCTGAAGATGACCTGTGGTTCATTATAGTGCTAAAACACACATCCTTGAGTGGAGTTTTGATTTCAGGTGCTAATGAGATGTAACACATGAAAGTGTGTGCATACCTAGATATAACAGTATGTGCAAGAAAGCCCACACTATGCAAATAACCCCAAAGCTCATGAGATGTGACATAAAAGCCCCATCCTTTATATAGCATTGCCATCGAGCTCCTAAACCCTTTCTCTGCTTGGCCCACTTCTTCCTTTGGAAGTGTATTCCCTTTTAATAAGTTCTCTAGCTTTCTTTACGTTTATCCACATGTATCTGTCCAAGTCCTTGCTTGGGAACACAAAAAACTGGGAACTTCTCTGGAGGTGCCCATCAAACCTTGATATAGGCAGATATCTCTCTGACCACCTATGCATTTATATCTCACAATTCACTGCTATTAAACACTATCATCATACTCTAGTTGTTGTAGGAATATTTATTTTCCTATCCTATAAGATTCATTAGCATTCTCCACTGTGCCTGTCCCAGGAAGTACTCAATTATATCAATGGACTTGACAGCCTAAAACTGTTGCAGTCAATTATATGGTCTTCCATTGTGACTTTTACCAGAACATATTCATCATCATCAGTAACACCTAAGCATTTCTATAATGATCCTGTACATCAATATTTACAACCATGCAGAATGCCCATTGTTGTCAATGGATTTCATTATTCAAATGAATTTAGAAGTTAATGCACTTATGGTGGAGAAAAATAGGCCTTCTTTTCTACAATCACAGACTAGAGCATGCCAACATCTGTGTACTTGACTAAAGCTAGGAATAAAACTTAGGTCGCAGAATGTGATTACTGAAACTGTAAGATAGCCAGGAAATTTAAGAGAATGCTCCTAATTCATGCCAAAGATTCAATAAATAACCACAACCACTCAAGAGTCTCCACTTCCATGTACCATTTTTAACAAAGGCCATTCAAGTAGTGGGGGAACAATTACATCCAGAGGTTCTTGCAGAAAAATGTTTAAGATTTTATTTGTTTTTGAAAAACCTATGAGGTCTGCTGGAAACACCCAAAGCAAACACCATAATTTTTCTACCAGGATATGTTAGAACAGAGTCTGATATGCATCCTGTTTTGTTGAATTGAAAGAATTATTTTTAGAAATATTCAGAGAAAGAAATATTTCATTCTCTTTAACACTAACCAACACAGAGGGATTCAGCTCTTCTTTGGGAAATCTGAAAAATGAATGTTTGTGTGTGTATCATGCATACTGATGAATCAAGAATTAACTACTATTACCACATTTTCTACAAGATTATTTTTTTCCAAGTACCCATAGATTATATTGTTTTGTAAACGGGTATGCCCTCAAATCATTTTAGTCAGATTCTATATAACAGTCATGTAAATGAAGATATAATATTTAATTTGTACAAAGAAGCAATTAAAAAGTATAGTTCAGGGCTGGTGGGATGGCTCAGCAGTTAAGAGCACTGGCTGCTCTTGCAGAGGACCTGGGTTCAATTCCCAGCACCCACATGGTAGGTAACAACCATCCAGGCAATATACTCTTACACATAAAATAAAAATAACATTTTTAAATATTTTATTTATTTTTATTTTATGTGTATGAGTGTATTGCCTGCATGTAGGTAAGTGCACCCGTGTCATGCAATGCCCGTGGAGAACAGAAGAGGCCCTCAGATCCCCTGGAACTGGAGTTACAGACAGCTTTTAGCTGCCATGTGGGTGCTGGGATTCAAACCCGGGTCTTCTGCAAGAACAACCAGTGTTCTTAACTGCTGAGCTATCTCTCCAGCCCCCCCAAAAAATATTTTTTTAAAAGTATAGTTCTGGGGTCAGCAATAGAGCTCAGTGGGTAAAGGTGCTTACTATAAAGATTGACCACCTGAATTCGCCCCCAGGATCCACATAATGGAAAGGGAGAACCAACGCCCACAAGTTGTCTCCTGACTTCCACATGTGTGCCATGGAACAAGCAAACCAATACATAGTCTTCTACATATAAAAATAATAAATAAATAAATAAATAAACAAACAAACAAACAAATTTTTTTGGTCTTTTTGAAGCAGGGTATCTCTGTGGCCCCAGCTGTCCTGGAACTCACTATGTAGATGAGGCTGGCCTTGAACTCACAGAGATCTGCCTGCCTCTGCCTCCCAAGTGCTGGGACTACAAGTGTGTGCCACCACACCTGGCTAAATAAAAATTTTAAAAGTACCAAGTCCTGCAAAATGGCTCAGTGAGTAAGGCACTGGTTATCAAGTCTGGTGACTGAGTTCCCTCCCTAGAACCCACATGGTGGAAGGAGAGAACAGACTCCTGCAAGTTGTCCTCTGACCTCCACATGTGTGCCATGGGACATGTGCACACCATCCCCAACACACCATCCCCAATACGCAAACAAATAAAGAAATGTAAAAACTGCCAAAAGTACAGATATATCACATTACAATGAATTGGTAGAGACTCATATCTAAAAATTATATAATTAGGGGCTAGAGAGATGGCTCAGCAGTTAAGAGCACTGACTGCTTGTGCAGAGGACCTGGGTTCGATTCCCAGCACCCACATGGCAGCTACAAACCATCCTTAACTCCAGTTCCAGGGGAATCCAAAACCCTCTTCTGACTGCGGCACTGCACGACACAGGTGCACTCACAGGCAATACACTCATACACATAAAATAAAAATAATAAAAAATTTTTTAAAATATTTTTTTAAATTATATAATTAAGCTATACTTGGAAAAGTTAAATATAAAAAATCTGTGCTTTCAAAATGAGATTCTAGAAAAGATCACTCTCGACCTCTAATATGTTTCAGGGTAAGAAAACTTCTTGGCTTTCCTTTAGAAGTTCAGTTTTAATCCCACATCACTAGTAAGAACACCTCCTGAGGGCACCTACCACAGTATTATTTCTTTTTTTTTAATTAAATTTTTTGTTTATTATTTTTATTTTACATGTATGCATGTATTGCCTGCATGTATGTATGTATGTAAGTGCACCCATGTCATGCAATGCCTGCGTAGGACAGAAGAGGCCTTCTAATCCCCTGGAACCAGAGTTATGGACAGTTGTCAGCTGCCATGTGGGTGCTGGGATTCGAACCCAGGTCTTCTGCAAGAACAACCGGTGCTCTTAACCACTGAGCCATCTCTCTAGCCCCCAAAATATTATTTCAAATTCACTTTAGACTTACTCCTTAATTAAATTGATGATAAGTTTCTCATTGCATTCCCTGTATCAAAAACTTCTTGCTTCTGGACAAGCAACAATAAAATATAATACGGCCAAATTCACTTTAAGAAGTTTTTACTTGTCAAGTTCTAAGACACATGCACAGTTTTCCTTAATACTAAATGCTTTGATATTGATAACTAAAACATCTCAAACATGCAGCCTCAGATTTCCTTACTTCAGACCAGTCCAAAGCCACCCACTGTGGTGGACATGACTGGTTGTTGCAGGACTCTTTCTCAATAGGCCGGTGTGTTAAACAACCAGTGTAATCCAGAGTCTCCTCCTCAGATGGTCCAATCTTCCTGATGCAGAGCACTGCCCTTGTGCGCATTCCACCATCACAAGTCTTACTGCACTCCAACCAATCTCCAATGAACCATCTGCAACCAAAAGTGGAAGAAATATAGAGAAGCATGTCTTCAGTGCGCTGAGAGACTTTTAGCTGAGTACACGCCACACTTTTCCTAAGAAAAGCTGACAGTTCAGTGGTGGTTAATAAGACAATGCAAATGTAAAGTCATTAAGTAAAACACTGTTCACTGTCACTCAATTATCTTTCAGAGTATAGTATGTGGGCTTTGGAGCAAGCAGACCTATATTCAAATAAAACAATGTACCATGTGTTTTAAAACCTCTTTGATTTTTCTATTTAAAATTAATTTCTGAAGATAATAATTACTTCATATGAATGTCATGAAAAATAAATAATATATTTAAAGGTTCTAATACATGGCGACAAATATTTTAACAATTGGCTATCCATAGAACAGACAGAGTTCTGATTTGTGGCATTTGCTTTTTCTTTTTTGTAGTATAAAAACTTCAGTAAGGCCAATTGCAAGTTACCAGTTTGTTCTGAGCATGACAAGAGAACTCATGCTAATGACAGGATCTCATGAACAAGAAGTAGACATTCCAAACCACCACTGAGTGTGGTCTGGCATGCAAAAAACAAGAAGCAGTAACTATTTTTATTATTATTACTTTTCATTGCAGCCAATTCTCCCATAATTGAGGTTTTTATGTTAAAACTCCAAAGGAGATGGGGATCTATTTTCCAATTTCCAGAAATAAATGCTCAAGAAGGTAGGAGGACTTAGAGATAAAGGCCCAGGTATCTATACCAATGACTTACTTCTGCAAAAGTGGAGCCCTAAGCCAGCTTTATGAAAACACACAGATTCCCTGCTTTCATCCTTTTGCTCAAAAAATAAAAATGGAAATAAAAATGCTTCTCATTTCCTCACAGTTAAGGTGGGAAGAAACTCAGATGTTTTAAACTTGTCCCACACACATACTACCCCTTTCCTTTAAAGTCACCAATGAACTTTCATATGTACACAATTTTGAGGGTTCTGGATCATACTTCTGCTCTATTAGTGTCCTAGACATCACTGATTGGCCCAAAAGGAAGCATGATTCAGTTCAGACCAGTAAGAATTCTACTTCAGAATTTTCACACTTTCCCTTTGTGTCACAAAGGTGCATGAGGACACACGTTTAGACCTGCTGGTGGCCATGTCACTCCTCAAACAGAGAAGCAAGGAAGGTCTGATGTGCCTGAGTCCATGATTCTATCAATTCCATCCCTATACGTCCCTGAGCATTGCTACATAAAGCTTATGTATTATTTACCACTAGCATCTTGACCAACATATTATTGTGTTTATTTAATAAGCACTTGCTGAATTCCTATCAAGTTCAAGACATTCTGCTTTGTTTTACAGAAGAAAAAATAAGATCCTTTGTCAGGAAAACAGTTTTCCAAAGTCATGAAAAGAGCAATAATGAACAAAGACTGGATCCCCATTTCAATTGAATCTCACTTTTTTTTTTTCCTTTTGGTCTTTTTGAGACAGGGTCTCCCTGTAGCTCCAGCTGTCCTGGAACTCACTATGTAGACCAGGCTGGCCTTGAACTCACAGAGATCTGCCTGCCTCTGCCTCCTGAGTGCTGGGATCAAAGGCCTGTGTCACTATGCCTGGAGACATTGAATCTCACTTTTAACATCATAGAAACCAAAATTTATGTCACAGGGTCTTTTTTTCAGTTCATGATTATGAACCATACAGCTGCCATGCTCATGTTCATGGGTATGAGACTGCCCAGAGAGAGGGCTGCGAAAAGCAGAAGAACCAATTCCTCAATGCTTCCCTGAGAAGAATCCACTCTGAGGGCTTTATGACTAGAAGGAGGTATCTTAGCAACAGAGCGTTAGCATCCTAAGTTGAAGCCTGCATTTAGTCACAATGGCCTTTCCTCAGGATTATTTGTTTTATTGTTATTTATAGAGGAAACAGCATTTCAGCATTTAGAAACATCAATCAGTTTTTCAAACTTAAAATATATTTCTCAAACTCAAAATATTTCAACCTAAATTCATTTAAAAATAATAATTTAATCCTGCATTAAAAAAATCTGACACTACCATATTTTTTTCTGTTAAGTCACTTTCCAAAGGAGATTTAAAGAGATTTTCTTATACTTTCCTTTCTGTTTTCCACAGATGAACATGATCCCAAGTTGTTAGTACCATATTTGGTAAGGAGGAAAATTTGTACTGAGAATAATCACTTGCATGCCAGCCATAGTGAAACTCTGATCCAATTTGCAACAGTGATTTCATCACCAAGATAAAACAGAACTGTGTATAACTCAGCCACAGAAAGCTCAGTCATGCCACTTCCAGCCATGATCTCATTACATCTCATAATGTATGAGTGACGGAGAGCTTTAAATTAAACACAGGTGCACAGAGGCAGCAGCCATTCAGCGTGTCACTGATTTTTCTGAGCATAGGGTTGGGACACCTGTGTGTTTTAAAGTATTTGTTTATATGAGTATTTGTCTCTTCCTTCACTGCCAATTATCTTTCCTGAGAATCTTAGTCTGTAAACATCACTCTACTCTTCAACTTGGAATATATGGAAGTAAACGTATTAATTAGTCACCCGTCCAGTTCCCTTCCTGACTGTAATTTCAGGCTTCACCTCAGTTCCTATTATATCTGCATTACTGGTCATATTATCCCTTCCTATTTTTTGTTTTCTCTCTTTTAGAGTCAGTAATAAAATATGAACATAGAAATTCTCTCTGGGAATACCAACTGTAGAATGTTTATATCCTGAACAATCCCAGAGTAGGATCTTTCTGAGCTCTTCTCAATATCCAGTAATTAAAAATGTCTACCATCCATTAGAGGCTAACAATTCCTGGTATTCATATAGTGATTTTTATTACTTGCTTGTCTAATCATTTGTGTTTTTCAGTAAAGGTCTCGCTCTGTAGAGCAGGCTGGCTTAGAACTCATTATGTTCCCTAAGGTAGCAATCCTACTGCTTCAGCCTCCCAAGTTCCAGATTACAGGCAGAACACAGCCAGTGGAATTAATGTTTGAGCAATCTGAAATACAAGTGGCTTGCTGTCCTCTGTAGAATCTGATCTCATTCTAGTCTCTATTATTAAAGAAAACTATTATATGGATGAAGGGAAAAGATAAACCATTTAAAGTTTTGATCCAATCTTGAAGAGTTCCATAATAAAAACCAGACTTTTATTTTTACATTGCAATTTAAAGGAAAATGTCAGCACATATGAAAACAAACTGTTATTAAATAGTTGGATTCGAGGAAAGACACAGGTTAGCATGCGCAATCCATGAGTTCAAGCCCCAGCACGTGGTAGGGGCGGGGGGATTGATTTCCAGCCTTTATTCCAGAGTCAATTATCATCATTTTTCTCCTATAAATGCACCATCACAAATTAAGAAAAGACTTTAGAATTTAGCAGCTTCAGTTTTAATCAATGAAAGATAATTATATAACCTGCTGTCTATTTATAAAAATGTTAAAACAAATGCTTAAAAATAATTTTTAGAAAGATTTTTTTCAAGCCAGGCATGGTGACGCACACCTTTAATCCCAGCACTTGGGAAGCAGTGGCAGGCAGATCTCTGTGAGTTCAAGGCCAGCTTGGTCTATACAGTGATTTCCAGGTGGGTAGGACTGGGGAGACCCTGTCAAAAAATAAAATGAAACAAAACAAGCAAAAAAAAAAAAAAAAAAAAAAGAAACAAAACCCATCTTTCTGTTGTCTACAAGAAACTCATCTCACTTTCAAGGACAGGCACTACCTTAAGGTGAAAGGATGGAAAAAATATACCAAATGAATGGTACTAAGAAAAAGGAGGTGTTGCAACTCTAATATCTGACAAAATAGACTTTTAACTAAAACTAATCAGAAGAGACAAAGAGATCCACTTCATTTTGATCAAAGGAACAATGAATCAAGAAGATATTACAATCATGAACATATATTCACCAAACTCTGGT